AGTTGAATGTGACAGGTTGTAACAAAATCAATTACACTTACATGGCATTACGATAATAACAACCATTAAACAAACAGTGGAGAGTGGACCTAGTGGCAAAAATAAAAAAGAATTCAACAACTCCAATGATAACTCAATGGTAAAAATTGTATAATTTATAATTACATATATAAAAAAATTAATTAATAATTTATTAATTTAAGTGAAAAAAATTTAGTTTTACTAAAATAAAATATTAAATTTAAAATTTATAAATAAAAAAATATGTATTATTTTTTTTAATGAAATTTTACCCAGATTAATTGTAAATTAGTTGAGATAGATAATGATTAGTTATGAAAGATAGTAATAATAAAAAAAAAATTCAACCGTTAACTTTTTACCATGGCGAAATTCGAAAGGCGGATCGGAGCATACCCGCTCCAGTCATGTATGTATATGGTAATACCAAAACCAGCTGAGCCAACGTGTTCACCCCACTCTAAGGCACATTCCACCACTTCCGGTCCTTTCCTCTTTCTGGGGATTTTTCCTTTTTTTTTTATATTTCGGGCCTTAGATTAGATCTCTGCTTCTCCTTCCTCCACCGCACAAATTCTGTATTCCTCTGCCATTGATTCTCTTTCTTCTCCGGGAAGCTAAGAGTTCAAGGGTTTAGTTTCTGCTTCAGATCTCGAATCGATTCGAATCCGGGCAGTGTCGGGATTTAATTCAGAATCGAAGGTTTAATTTCAGTTTCAGATCTTCTTGGTATTCGTCGGTTCTCAATCTTCGATCCGAGCCACCATGGCGGCCGCCAACGCTCCAATCACCATGAAAGAGGTCTTAACTGTAAGTATCATCTTTCACTCTCATTTTCATCATTTATTTCTGTGATTCAGCTGTTATTTTAGAAAACTGAGGTCAATTGTAGATGATGATAGCGTCTTGAGCATAGTTTAGACTTTTGATGCTGTTTTTGATTAATCGTTTAGTTTCTGTTTAGATCTGCTCGAAACTTCATTTGTATGCTTCGAAATAGCTGAGAATTTATTGTTATTGATTAGTTGATGTTGAATTATGAGTGATCTGATTTGTGTTTGCAGTTACCTAGCATTGGGATTAGTCCGCAATTCATCACGTTTACGAATGTGACTATGGAATCGGATAAGTATATATGTGTAAGAGAAACGGCTCCGCAGAATAGTATTGTGATCATTGACATGAATATGCCTATGCAGCCGTTGAGACGGCCTATTACTGCCGACTCTGCTCTTATGAATCCAAATTCCAGAATCCTTGCTTTGAAAGGTAGGTTAGGATAGCTGGAGTTAATTGCAGCTTTTACTTGGCAGGATGAATTGCTTTGTCAATGCTTATTAAGCAGTTTAGCTTCACCTGAATGCTTATGTTTCTTGTTCATTTTGCTTCTTATTAGATAATTGAAATCTGGTATTATTCACATTGTTTATTATGTGTTGCCACTCAGGCCTCCATCACTGTATCTTAAATGGCTAATCTGGAAATTGGTAGGCTAATAACATAGTTTTTACTTTAACTTTGACTATCTTTTAGTGCTCAAAGATATATAGAAAACTAGAAAAATTGATACGTGATATTGGATGATCATGTTTGTTGTGGGAATATTTATATCAGACTCTTTATTTTTTTTTTTCTCCTATCTTCTTGTTTTCTTTTGCTGGGGGCAATATTGGTTTTATTGGTGCTGTGGAAAATATTTGATTTTAATTACTTACCTAATTATATAACTGCTAATGGAGTCTCACATCCTTTTTGAAGCTCAACTCCCTGGAACTACTCAAGATCACTTGCAGATATTTAACATAGAGATGAAAGCAAAGGTGAAATCTCATCAGATGCCTGAACAGGTAAACCTTACCTTTTTCTTGATAAAATTCACATAAGTACTTCCTTTAAATTCTGTAACAATTAACAAGCCATTTTCTGCTCCTCATCATCTTTCACTGAGATTGAAGTTGGTTTTGGATATCTATTTAGGTTGTCTTTTGGAAATGGATTTCCCAAAATATGTTGGGCCTGGTTACTCAGACCTCTGTATATCACTGGTCCACAGAAGGTTAGATGGTTTTGTCTTATTCTGCAGCTCTACATTCCTTGATATTTACAATTTCTCTAGATACACATATATTATATTTCATTGTATTTGTTTTCCTTTTACATCCATCTTACTAGTCCTATCTTCTGACAGGTGATTCTGAGCCAGTTAAGATGTTTGAAAGAACAGCTAATTTAGCAAGCAATCAAATAATAAACTATAAATGTGATCCCAGTGAGAAATGGTTAGTTTTGATTGGAATTGCTCCTGGTTCACCTGAGGTATGTGGTTGCCTCTGTTAATTGTTTCTAAAATTTTATTATGAAATGATGTTTCTTTGTTTCTCTTTGGAAGTTCAAGAGTTGGACTGATTAGACTAAAATGTATTATGTTGAAAAAGAAACAAATTTCACTGTAGTTATCCATTTTCTCGGATGGCACTGAGCTATGTCTGATCTAGCAATGCTGGCCATCAATTTTATGCAAGCTGGTCTCTATGTTGGGCACTCTATGGTTCCTCAAATTCCATTGATGGATAAATTCAAACTACTAAACTTAGCACCTAGTATTAATAAAATATCTCCTGATGTATGATGTTGTTGCCCCCAAGGTTGTTAAAATCAAGATTTTACCTAAGATCGAAAAAGGGAGATGAGATCATAAATTGTAAGATCGCAAATAGGATCGTAAGATCCTAACAAATTTTTGTGTATTTATATAATTAATAAAAACAAATATAAATTATGTAAATATCATAAAATAAATTGTTAATGTTGTTTAATGATGAAATAAGTTTAAAATAAAATATTGAAAAGTTCAAATACAAAGTACTTAATAATTCATAATTAATTTAATCCTTAAATTTGTAAATCAAATAAAAAAGATAATAAAAATATGAATAATTGTTAATAATAATTGTTATTGTTAACGTGAAAGATAAAATTATATTTAAAAAAATCAAAAAAATTTAAAAGAAATCAAAAAGGTTAAAAAAATTAATTATATAAAATTATTAATAAAATTATCATATAAATAGTAATTTTATAATTTTATATTAAATAATTTCAATAATACTCACGTACAATTATATAAATCTATAGTATTTTAAATAAAAAACAATAATTATGTTATATAAATAGAATATAAATCCTTTTTATTGTATATAAATAATAAAATATTTCTACATATAAAAAATAAACACAACACAATAAAAGAATTAAAAAGATTAATCTACAATTAAAATTAAATAAATCAAAGCTAAAAGACAAAAGGAACTGCAAATGGAGTTTGGGTTTTCAATGCAGGGAACAACTCGGCGGGTCGAATCAGGCAAGCAGCGGCAGCACCAGCAGCAACGCAGCAGCAACGGCAAGGCAAAATCAGTGCAACGATGAAGTTCTAGAGATGGAGATTCTGCTGTCGCTGGAGAAGATGAACAACTAATTTTAAAATTCTTAATTATCATCCATAATCTCAGAAGAATTTAGTTTCTAAAATCCTTCAAGATCGCACGATCTCACGATCTCATGATTTTGTGCATGATCTTCGATCGATTCTTCAAGACCTACGATTTTTGTCCGATTTAGATCGTTGAAACCCCTTAATATTGTAAAATCGTGCGATCTTAGGATTAAGATCGCGATTTTAACAACCATGGTTGCCCCTCCTCTTGCTTGTAGTGTCAACTTTTTATTGAATAAGAAGGCTCTAATCTGTCAACTAGCTCTTCCATTACTATATTTATCTCTCACTACATTTGTTTAGTTCCTTAATTATTTGTTGTGACCTACAGGATTCACTTCTTGGAGAATATATTTTCTGCTGCAGTGCTGCTTTAATCTTGATGTTCTATCCTTTTTTGCATGCAGAGGCCACAATTGGTTAAGGGGAACATGCAACTTTTCTCTGTTGATCAGCAGCGCAGTCAAGCTCTTGAAGCACATGCTGCCTCGTTTGCTCAGTTTAAGGTTTGGGATTGCCTTTAGTTTAGTACATTTAATTGCATATACAGACTCTACCTTTTGTTTTAAGCCTTGTAATATCTTTTGGTCTGTGCTGTATAGGTTCCAGGGAATGAGAATTCTTCAATTCTTATTTCCTTTGCCACCAAGACCTTTAATGCTGGCCAGATTACATCAAAGTTGCATGTCATTGAGCTTGGTGCCCAGCCAGGTCTATTTAATATTTGTCCATTTTTTCAGACTATTAGTATTTTTAGGGTTAATATGTTTCCTTGTATAATTGCGATTTAACTTTTCATCTATCAACAACTGTGTTGTAACAGTACATATATATTTTTTGGCAGGTAAGCCATCATTTTCAAAGAAACAGGCCGATCTCTTTTTCCCGCCAGATTTTGCAGATGATTTCCCAGTTGCTATGCAGGTATCATTGTTTCTGTTATCTATACTTCTTCTAATGTGAAGTGTGATTGTTCACTAAATGTTTTTGTATATTTGCAGATATCTCACAAATACAGTTTGATCTGTGTTATTACCAAGCTTGGGCTATTGTTTGTGTATGATTTGGAGACAGGTACAGCTGTATACAGAAACAGAATTAGCCCGGATCCAATTTTTTTAACTGCTGAAGCATCTTCAGTGGGGGGTTTTTATGCCATCAATAGGCGAGGCCAGGTATTACTGGCAACTGTAAATGAAGCAACATTAGTGCCATTTGTCAGTGGTCAGGTATGTTTATGTGCTTTTCTTGTTTTCCTTTAAATGATCATAACAATTAAGATATTTTGTGCTTAACAAGTCTTTTTTTGATTGTTGTATTCTCTAACAGTTGAACAATTTAGAGCTAGCTGTCAACCTTGCCAAGAGAGGAAACCTTCCTGGTGCAGAGAACCTGGTAAAAACACTGGTTTTCTTTCTCTAATCCTTTTCTTTTCACTTTCAATAGACTGGAATGTTTTTCGAGCAATAACGTCCTGTTACTGGGATGTTGACCACATGCCATCTTGGACATCTCAGGTTGTCCAGCGTTTTCAAGAACTGTTTGCTCAAACAAAGTATAAAGAAGCTGCTGAGCTTGCAGCAGAATCTCCACAAGGGATCCTTCGTACACCAGACACAGTTGCCAAGTTTCAGGTTTCCTTTCTTGTTTAAATCAACTTGCCTGTTATTCTTATTTTAGTTGCTTCCATCTAAGATAAATCTTTCTCACATCCTTCAGAGTGTCCCTGTGCAAGCTGGACAGACTCCTCCACTGTTGCAGTACTTTGGTACACTTTTGACCAAAGGGAAGCTCAATGCGTTTGAGTCACTGGAATTGTCTCGCCTGGTTGTGAACCAGAACAAAAAGAATCTTTTGGAGAACTGGTTGGCAGAAGACAAGTTGGAATGTAGTGAGGAACTTGGAGACCTTGTGAAGGTTCAATTTGTTGTATATGAAAATTATAATCTATGTTTAGAATGAGTTCTCTCAAATATGTTAAGTTTCTATTTCAAACAATTTTATGTAATGGAAGCATGAAGCTTTCTCCTTGTCTGATGGTTACTGTGCTGGCTTTGTAGACCGTGGATAATGATCTTGCTCTGAAAATATATATTAAAGCTAGGGCTACTCCAAAAGTTGTTGCTGCTTTTGCAGAGCGGAGGGAGTTTGACAAAATTTTAATATACTCAAAGCAGGTGATTTTTCAATTTGTAGAGAAAATTTCTGCTTTTTTTTTTCCTTTTCTCTTAATTTGTTCTTTTTCGGAGTATTAACATCGTACATATTTATGAATTTTTTTTCCTTCCTCAGGTTGGGTACACACCTGACTACTTATTCCTTCTGCAAACAATTCTCCGTACAGATCCTCAGGTAAGTTTATACTTTCTGTAATATTTGTCTTTAAAGTGATGAAAACAATTGAAATTATAAATACCTTGAGTAACTTTGTTCCTTCTACTATTCTATATTTTGATGTCTGATTAAAAGCCGAAAAAGGCTTTGGTTATTCTTGTAAATGAAATTGTTTTCTTTATATTTTTCCATTGATTAGATATTATTATTGCAAACATCAAGTCATGGTAGATCTGTGTAATTTTCATGTCAGATGAGACAAGCAATTTGCTTTTCGAGCTGCAAAAGTTATAGAGAGTTACTCTATTTTTTTTTTCTTCCGGTTTGTTGCAGGGGGCTGTTAATTTTGCATTGATGATGTCTCAAATGGAGGGAGGTTGTCCCATTGATTACAACACCATTACAGATCTTTTTCTTCAGGTTTGTTTGCTGGATTTTATTCTTTGATTAAGGTTCATGAGGCATAAAATTGATGTTTCTGTTTGTATAACACCTTGGCGTCCCTAATGCTTTTTTTTTTTTTTTTTTACTTTCTAGAGGAACTTGATCCGTGAGGCAACTGCCTTTTTACTAGATGTTTTGAAACCAAATCTGCCAGAGCATGGTTATCTCCAGACCAAGGTTACTTAATTATCTACTTGTTGGTTGGGATATGCCTTCTTTTTAGATCTTTATATTAGTTCAATTTTGTGACATTCCTTTTCTTCTAGGTCCTTGAAATCAATCTTGTGACTTTTCCAAATGTTGCTGATGCTATTTTAGCAAATGGAATGTTCAGCCACTATGATCGTCCTCGAATCGCTCAGCTATGTGAAAAAGCGGGTCTGTATGTGCGAGCTCTGCAGGTAATATAGTTAATAATCGTTATTGTTATTATGTCATGGCTTTCTTAAAAGAATAAAAACATTATTCTGGATTAATGATAAAATCTATTCTGCAGCATTATACAGAATTGCCTGATATTAAGCGTGTCATTGTGAACACACATGCTATTGAGCCACAGGTATACTTTCTCCAATGCTTACAAATTTTGACTAAATTGGTTAAATTGGAGACTCGTGGGCTGACGGCATCCTTTTTTCAGGCACTTGTTGAGTTCTTTGGTACTCTTTCGCGAGAATGGGCTTTGGAGTGCATGAAGGACCTCTTACTGGTCAATCTAAGAGGCAATCTTCAAATAATTGTGCAGGTATGGGATGGTGGTGTTGAGGCATCTAATGACTTCTAGCGTATTTCAGAAAGGCTAACTCATGTTGCTGTGCAGGTTGCAAAGGAGTATTGTGAGCAGTTGGGTGTTGATGCCTGCATAAAAATTTTTGAACAATTTAAATCATATGAAGGGCTGTACTTTTTCCTGGGTTCTTATTTAAGTTCAAGGTGAGTTTTGGCAAGCAAGAGATTTCCTTTTGCTTGGTTACTTCAACCACATCCATTTAACCATTCAAAATGTTGTTTACAGTCATTTACATCTTGTCTGATATGTTGCTTTCTCCGTGATTGGACAGTGAGGATCCTGATATACACTTCAAGTACATTGAGGCAGCTGCTAAAACTGGACAGATAAAGGAGGTGGAGCGGGTGACTAGGGAATCAAATTTCTATGATGCTGAGAAGACAAAGAACTTTCTAATGGAGGCCAAGCTCCCTGATGCTCGTCCTCTGATCAACGTTTGTGATCGTTTTGGGTTTGTCCCAGACCTGACTCACTACCTTTACACAAATAACATGCTTCGCTACATTGAAGGTTATGTTCAGAAGGTACAACTTCTTTTCGTTCAACTCAAAAGGCCTAATTGTTACTCATTCTTGATTAGTTGATGACTTGTGTTCATCTCTTAACAGGTTAACCCAGGGAATGCTCCTCTGGTAGTTGGCCAGCTGCTAGATGATGAATGCCCTGAAGATTTTATTAAGGGCCTTATTCTCTCTGTACGTTCTTTGCTTCCAGTTGAACCCTTGGTGGCAGAATGTGAAAAGAGGTGATTTTTATTTGATCCTTGTGTCTGTTTTCATTCGCTGCTTACTGTATCATTCTTATCTGTTTCTTTGTTGCTCTCAGAAATCGACTTCGCTTACTCACTCAGTTCTTGGAGCATTTAGTAAGTGAGGGAAGCCAAGATGTACATGTCCACAATGCCCTGGGTAAAATTATTATTGACAGCAATAACAATCCAGAGCACTTCCTCACTACCAACCCCTACTATGACTCCCGAGTCGTTGGTAAGTATTGTGAGAAGCGTGATCCCACTCTGGCAGTGGTGGCTTACAGGAGAGGACAATGTGACGATGAACTTATCAATGTCACAAATAAAAATTCCTTGTTTAAATTGCAAGCCAGGTATGCAATTTCTTTAGTTTATGTGTGTTAGTATTCGGAATAATTTGGTGCTTGGTACCTTATCCATTCCTTGATCACAGGTATGTGGTTGAAAGGATGGATGCTGATCTTTGGGAGAAGGTTCTCACTCCTGAGAACGAATATAGGAGACAACTAATAGATCAGGTTGTATCAACTGCTTTGCCAGAAAGCAAGAGTCCAGAGCAAGTTTCTGCTGCTGTTAAAGCATTCATGACTGCTGATCTGCCTCATGAACTGATTGAACTTCTTGAGAAGATTGTGCTCCAAAATTCTGCATTTAGTGGGAACTTCAATCTGCAAAATCTACTCATTTTGACTGCCATCAAGGCAGATCCGTCTAGAGTTATGGATTATATAAACAGACTAGATAATTTTGATGGACCTGCAGTTGGGGAAGTTGCCGTGGAAGCACAACTATATGAAGAGGCTTTTGCAATTTTCAAGAAGTTCAACTTAAATGTTCAGGCTGTCAATGTGTTATTGGATAATATTAGAAGCATTGATAGGGCTGTGGAATTTGCATTCCGTGTGGAAGAAGATGCTGTTTGGAGCCAGGTGGCAAAGGCACAACTCAGGGAGGGACTGGTGAGCGATGCAATTGAATCATTTATTCGTGCAGATGATGCTACTCAATTCCTTGAGGTTATTCGTGCCTCTGAGGATGCAAATGTCTACCATGACTTGGTGAGATACCTTCTAATGGTTAGACAGAAGGTGAAAGAGCCCAAGGTTGATAGTGAGCTCATTTATGCATATGCAAAGATTGATAGGCTGAGTGAAATTGAAGAGTTCATTCTAATGCCAAATGTGGCTAATCTTCAAAATGTTGGGGATCGCTTGTTTGATGAAGAGCTTTATGAAGCTGCAAAAATTATATTTGCATTTATATCCAACTGGGCCAAGTTGGCTGTTACATTGGTTAGACTTAAACAATTTCAAGGTGCTGTCGATGCAGCACGAAAAGCAAACAGTGCAAAGACATGGAAGGAAGTTTGTTTTGCTTGTGTTGATGCAGAGGAGTTCCGTTTGGCCCAGATATGTGGACTCAACATTATTATACAGGTAAATTGTTTGCTTTGCATTGTGCAGAACTTTAAAAATTAAGAAAAATGAAATTGGCATAAAGAGGGAAATTTGTCCAAGGTTTCCTTTTTGTTATTAATTAACTTTATGTGGCACTAATTCAATGCTTAGTGTTTTCATTTGAAAGCCTTTGTTTTTATGTCTAGAATGGTTCTGAATGTTATTCTTGATGGACTTTATAGGTGGATGACTTGGAAGAGGTCAGTGAGTATTATCAGAACAGAGGGTGCTTCAATGAGTTGATCTCTCTGATGGAGAGTGGTTTAGGATTGGAACGAGCACATATGGGCATCTTTACTGAACTGGGAGTGTTGTATGCTAGATATCGTCCAGAGAAGCTGATGGAGCACATTAAATTGTTTTCAACTCGTCTCAATATTCCGAAGCTTATACGAGCTTGTGATGAGCAACAGCATTGGAAGGAACTTACCTATTTGTATATCCAATATGATGAGTTTGATAATGCTGCAACCACCATCATGAACCACTCTCCTGAAGCATGGGATCACATGCAGTTCAAAGACGTTTCAGTCAAAGTTGCTAATGTTGAACTCTATTATAAGGCTGTTCACTTCTACTTGCAAGAACATCCAGATCTCATAAATGATATGCTCAATGTTCTTGCCCTCCGTGTGGATCATGCACGTGTTGTTGACATTATGAGAAAGGTTGTTATCAGTGGCAAAATATTTCTTATGTTAAAAGTCAAATGGACTTACCCTTGTTTTAGTTTGATTGGATTGATATATTTCTTTTCTGTGCTCAGGCTGGTCACCTTCGTCTTGTGAAGCCATATATGGTAGCTGTTCAGAGCAATAATGTGTCAGCTGTAAATGAGGCTTTGAATGAAATCTATGTAGAGGAAGAGGATTATGAGAGATTGCGTGAGTCTATTGATATGCATGATAACTTTGATCAGATAGGCCTTGCCCAGAAGGTTAGTTGCAGTTATCTAGCATCTTTGTTTATTTGCTGTTTGATTTGGTTCTATTCTTTATGATCTTCGTAAATGGTTTGATTAGATTGAGAAACATGAGCTTCTAGAGATGAGACGTGTTGCTGCATATATTTACAAAAAAGCAGGCAGATGGAAGCAATCCATTGCATTGTCAAAGAAAGACAACCTATACAAAGATGCCATGGAGACAGCCTCACAGTCTGGAGACCGTGAACTTGCTGAGGAGTTGCTTGTTTATTTCATTGAACAGGTGCATCACTTTGTAGCTCTTATTTTTTATGTTTTATAATGTGGCTTGCACCTTTGCATTTGTACTGTTATGCCTTAGGTTGGTTATTTTTAGGGTATGATAAACCCAAAAACGTTCTGTTCTGATAATTTATGGATGTCAAACATAATTACTTTTTGGTGTTCAAAATTCCTTGGGAAATGATGCTGGGCGATTAGCACAATTAATTAGTTTTCACATTTACTTCTTTTTTTTTGGTTGAATTTTTGTTACACTATTAAACTAGATTTAATCTTGGAATTGATGCATTTTCTGCAGGGAAAGAAGGAATGCTTTGCATCATGCCTCTTTGTTTGTTATGACTTAATTCGACCAGATGTTGCTCTTGAACTAGCCTGGATTAACAATATGGTAGACTTTGCATTCCCATATCTGTTGCAGGTAAATATTTTCTTCTTGCCTGAGATCATATGTATCTTGGTGGGGGTATGTTAGCTAGCATATCCGCTTTTGTATGGTTGTAAAAAGCTTTGATGGAACTGTTTTCTTCTCCATTTACCTAGAATTTTGGTTTCATGGGTTTGTTTCCCCAAATGAGGGTTATATATGCTAGGAATCATCTTCTTTGGGACCAACATTCTTCCTCAGTTGTCTTCTTTGAGAAACTGGGACCTTTAGATTGATTGTCTTTCACTTGTGTTCTTTCAGTTTATTCGTGAATACACTGGCAAAGTTGATGAACTTGTGAAGGACAAGATTGAAGCTCAAAATGATGTCAAGGCGAAAGAGCAGGAAGAGAAAGAAGTGATTGCACAGCAGGTAATAAGTTGTAAACAGTTGCTCGTCTTAAATATATAGTTCCCATCCTTGCTGGGAATTCTGAATTTGTTTCTCATGGATTCTGATGAACTTTTATGAGTTTGAAGATACTCAACCCTTCAATATACTCTCTTGCAGAACATGTACGCCCAATTACTACCACTCGCTTTGCCAGCACCACCAATGCCAGGTATGGGACCATCGCCTATGGGAGGAGGATTTGCTCCACCACCTATGTCTGGAATGGGGATGCCTCCAATGCCACCTTTTGGCATGCCACCAATGGGAAGCTATTAGTTATATTGCTGATTGCTGCGGAGATTAGATGTAGATGAGAGGAAGGACAACCTAGTTGCCCTCGTGGTGTTTCAATGGGCTTCTGCTGCCTCCATATTCTTTGTGTTCATTCGTCTGATGGCGTGAATTTCAAGTCTGAATAATGTCATTTTGGTGTTTCAGTGTGTGATATTGTCTTGTAATATTCTTCTTTTTTGTAGTCTTGAGGCATTTTTTTGCTGCTGATAGAGGGCAAGCCGAGGATTCCATGCATTGTAGTATAGTATTTTTCTTTCGGTCCTTGAATTGGCCGAGTATATACAAACGCTTGATATCAACATGAATTTCCCGGTTTACATGTTCTCATCTTTAAAATCGTTCTCCACTTTTCTCCTGAAAGCTTGTTCGCTTCCAACTCTGACTTGTATGTTCGTCTGCTTCACCATTGGAGCTCTCCATGCTTTTTAGTTAATTGTAAGGCTGTTTATTATGGGTTGACAATGGAAAACATTATTATTTATTTGGGCCAGCATTGTGCTGAACAACATAAATTATTAAAATCAACTTAAATTGGTAGATTGAATATTTTGACATTAAGGGTTATTTTTTATTTAATAGTTTTTATTTTGTTAACATTATTGTAGTGGATTTTTGTCTTTTATTATTTTAAAAATATGTAAAATATTAATTAAAATTAATGAAAGTAAATAAAAAATAAAAAATTACATATAAATTTGTATTTTAGATAAAATTTTATATGAAAAATGTCTATAAGATATATTTATGGAAAGTATTGACAAAGGAAGATTAAATTGCTATTCTAAAATCTTGCATTGCACATTATGATTATTACAATCTCGTCAAAATTTAATAAGTGTAAATGTTAGAAATTGATTTTTGAGTGTGAATTTAATACTTTCTTTTTTGTTTTTGAATAACTATAATTTATAAGAAATAAGAAAGAAGTATAGATTAAGAATCTTTAAATCTTAACTGAGTAAGTCATAAATAGTATCGTTTCTAATGTTTAATGTTTTCTAAATTGATTTTTGAGTAGCATATGGACATTTTTTAATGTTTTCTAAATTCTAAACAATTTCAATTAACTTTAAACAATTTCAATTAACCTTAACATGGATAACGAAACGGAAGGACGTTTCGCAATGTCCTACAAGGTTCAGGGACCGGATTAATCGTTTTCAAATAATGGGGAACAATTTGCAAATAACTAACACCTGATGTTCACCCTTTCCTGGGGCATACCACGTCATATGGTAGCGACGGTCCAATCAAATTGTGCTGAGGTGTGTTACTAAAGGGTGAGGTGGCTTGATATTACGAGGTGTCAGTCTTTAATTGGATTGGGATACCACATCACTTCGTAGAAGTCATCGACTTCGCTTCTTTTACCTGAATTCCTCCGATCTCCTCCATCTCCACCGGAAAAATTCCAAAGCACTCTCGCAACCCATGGAAAACTGGATCCTGCTATGGGCAATAATCACTCCCCCACTAGCCATAATTCTCGCCTTCGTCGCTCAAATCATTAGTGGCAGAAGGAATAGAAGGAGAGCTGTCGGATTCTTCCACCCTTACACCAATGACGGCGGTGGCGGAGAGAGAGTGCTCTGGTGCGCCGTCAAAGGCATCCAAGATGAGAGACCTGATCTCGACTGCGTTGTCTACACCGGCGATCACGATGCCTCCCCAGAGTCTTTAATGGCTCGCGCCACCGATCGTTTTGGAGTCCACCTCCTTTACCCACCCAAGGTACTTTAGATTCAATTTTACTTTGTTGAATTGGAATTGTGCAATACAATCTCTTAAGCTTAGTTTGAAGGAAGTAGAAATTGCTTATACTCTGAAAGAAAATGTCTTTGCCAATTCTTAGGTAGTTCATCTGTACAGAAGGAAGTGGATTGAAGAGACTACATACCCTCGCTTCACCATGATTGGTCAAAGTTTGGGTTCAGTCTATCTCTCATGGGAAGCTTTGTGCAAGTTCACGCCTTTATATTATTTTGATACTAGCGGATATGCTTTTACATACCCAGTTGCCAGGATTTTTGGATGCAAAGTTATTTGCTATACACATTATCCTACAATCAGCTTAGATATGATATCTCGTGTTCGTGACAGGAGCTCAATGTACAATAATAATGCCTCCATTGCTAAGAGGTTTGCTTCCTAACTTTGTTTCTATCATTGTTTTGGGTTCAAGCCATCTAGTTCTGTATTGAGGGTGCCCAATTGAAATCAATAAATGCTGTGCGTCTGATATGTGTTATGCATAAGCATACTAACTTCTTTTAAACTAAGTTTGATTTGTTCTGGCAATGGTTTTCTCGGATAACATTCCTTATGTTGATAAATAGCAGCAGTATTTAATATGCTCATGATTGATATTGGTATTTTTTTGTTGTTGGAGCAATTTAGTGGCATGTGTCTTGGCACTTTACTTGGTTGAACGGACAACTTTATATGCTTCTATTCTCCCTTAGTAGAAGCTCACAAATTTTCTCCCATGGCAGCTGTTGGCTATCCCAGTGCAAAATCATCTATTATAAAATATTCAGTTGGATGTATGGATTTGTGGGATCTTGTGCACACCTTGCAATGGTAAATTCTTCATGGACTCGGTCTCACATTGAAAAGCTTTGGAGAATCCAGGACCGCACTAAGCGAGTCTATCCTCCTTGTGATACTTCAGGGCTTCAGGTTTGTAATTTTCTGTTTGTTTATGGTAGTTATTCGCTCCTTTTCTCCCATGCCTCCCTATGAGGTCAAATCCTTTATATATATGTGTATAGATATATATATATATTATTTTTTTCTTTGAAATGCTTCTGACATTCCTTCTGTAGATAAATAGCATCAGAATATGAAGTGTTAATACTGTGTTATAGGCATGTGGTTTCATTGGTTAATTCATTGATGATTTAAGTCATCTATTTTAAGTGTCTTGGTCATGGATGTTATCTGAATTTGAGGATGATCTGGGAAAATGAATACAGAATGCTTTATTTCAATCTAACTGACCAATATAATGTATACAATTTTTTTTTCTTTTTTCAGTTAAATACTCTCCAAATAAGTTAGAACTGAAGTCTCTGTATGGTTGTATAATTTCCATGATCTTGCAGTTTTATTTGGAAATATTAAAATTTTCCTTCACTAGTTATCACCATTTTCTATTTACATGTGTATATGCGGTCACAGTCTTCAATTTCTCTGTATTTGACAGTCACTTCCTTTGGAAAGACAAGGGGAAACTCCAAAGATTATATCTGTTGCTCAATTTCGTCCTGAGAAGGTGGGCATACTTTTGTAAACCTTAAAGCCAAAGGTACAAGGGTTTTGGTGGCTCATTTTTAGGGCCAATAGATTTAGTGCTTGTTTCTGACAGTTTAATTGTTGTAACTCAGGCGCATAGCCTTCAACTTGAGGCCTTTTCAGTTGCCATTCAGAGACTAGACAAAAACTTACCAAGACCCAAGCTCCAGTTTGTGGGTAGTTGTCGAAATAAATCAGATGAGGAAAGATTGCAGAATTTGAAAGACCAAGCAGTGAAACTGAAGGTAGATGGGCATGTGGAATTCCATAAGAATATGATGTACAGGTATGTGTAGGTATTAGCTGTTTATCATTTTACATCCAGTTATACATGAACAAGGTGCTAAATTATGTATCTTTTCTATCAACTTGTTTAAAGAATGAAAGGCATACAAAAGATAAATGGCATTATATGCTCTTACATGCTTAGATCAGTTGAAGAGAATTTAATATCACACAAAATTTCCAGAATTAACTCTCATTTTTATTCAATTCTAACAAATCTCAGGGACCTGGTAAGACTTTTGGGAGGTGCCGTTGCTGGAATCCATTCCATGATAGATGAGCACTTTGGCATAAGTGTTGTAGAGTACATGGCTGCTGGAGCCATCCCAATTGGTGAGCATTCCAACTTCCATGGGGAAATCTTTACTTTCAAGATTGAAGATACATTGGTTTATTATGGAACTGATTTTTTCTCACCATACACTCCTCTTCAGCTAATAACTCTGCAGGACCAAAAATGGACATTGTTTTGGATGAAGATGGGCAACAAACAGGGTTTCTAGCGCAGAATGTGGAAGAATATGCAGAAGCAATCCTGAAGATAGTAAGAATGCCTGAATCTGAGAGACTCAGAATGGCTGCAGCTGCAAGGAAACGAGCAGGCAGATTTTCTGAGCAAAGATTTTACGATGACTTCAAAGCTGCAATTAGACCAATTTTATCCAGTGCATCCTAGGCCCTAGCAACCAAGAAGCAGCAAATACCGCACACTGACCTTACATACCAGAGTTTTGCCAGATTCTAACTTCTTTAGCTGAGAGTGAGAGTTTCAAAGTTCCCAACCCAACACCTTCCCTTAATTCTCGAACTTATGGAGCGCCTACAAATGAACATGAAATAGGTCCAAGGCATGTAAAAGGATGTGTATTGTGTGTTAGTGTCATGTCATTACAAGTTGGATTTTTTATATCTAAATGGAGTAGAGATTCTACTTGTTCAGTCAGATTTATTAGTAGTACAATTTATCAAAAGGTTACCAAGAAAAAGATTTCTTCTCATATTTTAGTTTAATCTCTTATAATATGTTTAGGTTTAGGAGAATGAAAAAAAGAAGAGAAAACAAGTTTTTAATCAATTAAATTATAAGATTTTTAAAATATTATAATTTGATTAATAAAAGAATCTTTCCTTAACTCTTTCCTCTCCGTTTTTCCTTATCCCAAATATATGGTTATTTTTTTACATCAAATTGCAATTTTTGAACAATTCTACTTCTGGTTTTCAAACATGTCACTCTTTGATGATTTACACATCTGTGGGGACCCAAAGGCAGCTACATTGACTTGGGTTTCAAAATTTACTGGTCAGAAACTCCCAAAAATATATATCCCAAAATTTATTAAAAGGAAATTTGATAAAAACAGAGTAAATGATCCATAAGAAAAATAATAATAATAAATAAATAAATAAAGGGAAAAAGTTGCTAAAAACAAAAGGAGAGGGTGGCGTTCACGCGCCATGGATGGCTGTGGTGACAGCAGGAAGCTGGGAACGCCAACAGCTCATCTTGTTGATTTGGTTGCCTCATCTCATGGCCACAAACGCAGCGCGCCTCTGGATCAGATCCTCTCTCACTTTCTTCTTTATGGTTACAACACCCAGAGATGGCTATTTCTCTCAACACAGTCTTTGGCTTCAATTCTAAGGTGAAATCCCATCTCCTTCCATCTGGGTTTCTTGTTCATGTTAGTAATAACTTCTGTCTGCTTATTTTGATTATTTTTATCTGCTTTGTACGAGTTGATTTCTGCTGTTTGTTGTGAATGTTTTAATAAATTTTTTCAACATTCGAGTACAGGAGAAAGGAAAATTCTTGATGCCTGAATTTTAATTCTTGCGCTTGCATATAAGCATGTAAAGAAACAACTTTTATAGGAAATTTAGATGCATAGTTACAATTTTAAAGGCTGCATGTTGCTCCATGGTAGTGGTAGTTTTCATTGAGCAGAATTAATCCATTTTTTCTGGTGGTTTCGTTCACTTGGTTATTTATGGATTTGATTTTTGATTGAAGTTGCAAACCAGATGTCAGCATGTCTCAAGATTTTCTTCTGGAGCAGCAGAATCAAGGACCAATTTTATTTCATTTCCTTTGGGCATACTTGGTTCGAGGAGACAGATAATGCGAAGAAAATCGGGGTTGTGTTTCTCAATTGTGGATAGCGATCAACTTGCTGCAGACAGTGGCAACAAGGGTTCAGGAGATGCAGACAGGCCAGTTTCTGGTAATCAAGTTTCGGCTGCAAACTCTTCGTCGGAAACTACAGGACAAAATGGGGTTTTCCAAGAAAGTGTCAATGAGACCAGTAATCGTTCTGCGGTATCTTCAAGTCTGAAACAGGAAGCATCGTCCACAACAAAGAAATCACCACTAACTGCAAGAGAGAGACTAAGGGCAGCTCGGGTGCTCAACCGTTATGCAGAATCAAAGCCATCAAAAAAAGAGATGGGTAGTAAGGTATTGGATGCTCTGAGGGAAAGTGATAAAGGGAAGAAAAGGTCTGGTCTTCCAGAAGCCCCGATAAACTTGTTTGATGACAGCAAGCGAGGATTGCCAAAGCCAGGCCTAACTTTTCAGTTTCCTGGGGGTTCTGATCTCTTTCTCATCATCTTTTCATTTGTTTTCATCAGCACGGTTATGTTCACCACGACTTTCATCGTTTGGAAAGTTGGGGCCATACACTTTAATGAATACTAAGGTGCAGGGCAATCAAGATTTTTGCATTATTGGATTAGATACCTCCTAACACATCATTGATGCTCTCTTGACATCTTGATTTGAGGTACTGTAGATCCCCATGCGTCACATGGCTAGAATTTTTCGTTTATGCAAGTCTATATACATGACTGTACAAAGAGCACTGTCAAAACACCCATTATATTTATTATCAATGCTCAATCAATCTGCCTGGCGTAATTACATAGTTCTTATGGATTGAGGGTTTTTTTTTTTTTTCCCCTTAACAAGACTAGTCGAATACATGTAACTACTGCTCAGTCTTGGTGATCCCTGAAACTTTTTCCCCTGCTTCCATGGAATACTTTGTCAAAACCTTATGCTATACTTCAAGTAGTAAGACCTTGAGAAATAAAGGGAACCTACCTTGATCTTTTAAGATTACTTGACAAGACACCTAGCAAATAAATTCATCTGCAGCATATGAATGCACCTTGATTGAGCACATTCTTCATGTGACACTACTCAACGAACAATGATGATGGATCAATAATGAAGATGGATTACAGAAGGACACTAGAATTGACATCATCAGCACCACACAATCCAGAAAGACTTAAGAGGAGGGGGGGTTGCAGCATAAGTGGTTGATCATAAGTCATATCAATCTTTAAAGTTCTTTACAATGAGTTGCAATTTGAGTGGGATTGAGGTCCTACATAGGGACTAACTAGTGATTCAAATTGAAGAACCTTTGTTTGCTTGCATAGGACGCAAGGACGGTCTCTTTAAACATGGAGAAGAAACAATAGAAACATGACAAGTGATGCCAACAAAGAGAGAAAATTGCCCCTCTTTGGATCTCGGTACATCGAACATATGAAAGCAAAAAGGGTGTGTGCAATTTTAAGTTAAGGAGATGATGAGACAACTCGAGCACGCTACAAAACATTATCGAGAGAAATTTGAATCAATACAACACAATCATCTTTATATGAAAACATGATTACAAAGGAAAAGAGCATAGCAGAACTTAAAATCTTTGTGGGTTCATTTCCAACTTTTTAAGGGGAAAAAAAAAAAAAAAAAAAGGGTTCGAAGATAGGCATGGAGAATAAAAGCTTAATTAAAGGCGAAAAGCACGGCCAATACAACATCTTGAAGATGCAGTAGTACTATATTGCCGCTAAGACCGTAAATCAAAGATTATGCACTGTTGAAGGGTCAAAATTCATAATTTCTCAGTTTCTCCAGTCCATTCCATTATATGCACATAACACTTTTCTCTCTCTAAGGTAAGCATCCATGATTTTTAATCCCAGTTTGAGTTGACAGCCGAATACATCCAAACACGATTTTAATTTGGCCAATCAAAGGTTACTAGATATCACACCAATCTCCATCAAGATATGGAAAATCATGCATTATCAATTAGTGCTCAGACACTGTACCTGTTCATGCCTCTGTTAAAGACCAGCACATAATCCTCCCCGGATTTTTACAATAATTCTTGAAATCTTGATCCCTGTTTGCAAAGCTTTTGGCCAAAATGGGTGAGAATTTTCACGGTTCTGGTTGGCCTGAAGCGGTAGATTGTTTTGATTTCAGTGCTGCAATGAACTATGAGTCTTCTTACCTGGTTCCTTTCTCTCTACCGCCTGATTCCACCACTTCCAATTCGACTCAATCACAGGATTTTCCTCCCTGGACTGCTGTTCCTTTTGAAGGAATTGCAGAACAAAAGGCTGCCTCAGTTTCAAGGAGTCATAGTCAAGCTGAGAAGCGACGCCGAGACAGGATTAATGCACAGCTTGCAGCTCTCAGGAAATTAATTCCAAAGTCTGACAAGGTAACTAAAACTTGATCCAAATCAGAACTTCCCAATTAAATCTGCTACCGTGAGAGTAGTATTTGAATACTTCCTAGATCTTCTTCATTTTTATTTTTTTTTTTTGGGTTTAAAATTTTGTGCAGATGGATAAGGCAGCTTTATTGGGAAGTGCAATAGAGCGCGTGAAGGATCTGAAGCGAAAAGTGGCGGAAATCAGCAGAGGCTTCCCTATGCCGACGGAGGTCGACGAAGTTATAGTGGATCGTGATGGTGGTGAAGATCAAAAAGCAAGCGCCGGAACCATCAGAGCGTCCGTCTGCTGCGATGATCGGCCGGAAGTGTTCATGGAGCTCATCCGAGTCCTGAAAGGCCTAAAACTGAGCACGGTTAAAGCCGAAATCATCAGTGTTGGCGGCAGGATGAAGAGCAATTTGATCCTTTGCAATAAGAACGATGATCAAGAAAATGTTTGCTTGACCACAGTGAAGCAATCCCTGAATTTAGTTTTGAATAGAATTGCGTCGTCGTCGGCCGGATTAAACTTCCGGATCCGTAGCAAAAGGCAAAGGCTGCTTTTTCCTTCTGCCTTTGAGAATAATTAATTGAATTATTATTATTCTAAGTTTTGAGAAATATGAAAGAAATTACCTTTTTCTTGCTTTTAATTTTTAACTATGAAATTAGTGATGAGTGCTTATTCACTT